CTTGAAGTCAACTGTGAGGCGCTTCTCAGTGCTGCCCTTCTTGTCTACTATGACAATCGGATGGCACCATTCACTGGGCTCCGTCACTGGTTCAATAATCCCGTCGCTGACCATGCCGTCGAGCTGAGTCTTGATCTGGTCACGGAACGCATACGGTATTGGTCGAGCAGTGTACACACAGGAAGGCTTAGAATCATGCTGTAGCTCAATTTCCATTGGCGGACCTTCCATTGGCTTCAGACCGGAATCCGAGAAAACGTCAGCGAACTCTTGCAGGAGCTGATCACGTGTCCGCGCTAACTCAGCATCACTAGGATGAGCGCATGACGAAACAGCTGCACAGATCTTGGGTGAAGATGCACCCTCGTGTTCAGCGGTGAATTGGACTGGCCAATCAGGTGGGAGAAACTTCAGCGCACGCAATGAGGTATGAGACAGCAGGGCATCGTGTAGACCCTTGTACACATGGATGACGGTTTCATGCTGCGTCTCACCGACTCGTAGAGTCGCACGTATCTTGCCCAGGTTGCGTAGCGGCTCACCGGTCACAGCCTGCACACAGTCGTGGTCGTCATCTAAGCTCTCGACGAACCCACCGATCTGCGTGAGGTGCTCCTCGCCAATAGCATCAACGTCACTGCCTGTGTCTGGTGTCCAGGACAGTTGGGATGGCTGATCCTCTGTTTGCAGCATGGTCGAAACAGGTACTGTGCGACGGTCCACGCGAGACGCACGCTGTAGCTTCAGCTGTCCAAGCTTGGCAGCAGAGCTAGTCTTCGGCTGTTTCTGGCGCTTGCACATTCGCTGAAAATGCCCAATGCCATGACAGGAGTTGCACTTCTTGCCCTTGGCAGGACATACAGATTTCGTGTGCTCAGAGCGACCACAATTCGGACAAGTGGACTTGGTCGCACTTGATGTCTCACTTGGCTCAGAGTCAGCTGGCTTGTGACGTTTCTGTTGCTTGTACGCCGACTGCTTGGCAGCACTTGCCTGGAGGCCAGGACTGGGCATGTGTGCCTTGGTGTGGTATGCTGCTTCCTCCGTCCGACAGAGGGTGACAGCCTGGTCGAGCGTGAGACCATGAGTTGCGAGTAACTTGTGCCGCGTCTCATCGTTCCGCACACCAATTACGACGCGGTCGCGCAGAGATTCCTCCTTGAGGGTACGGCCGAGGCCTTTGCACTGCGCACAGCAGCGAGCATCACACGTTCCACATAGGCTGTGTGACAAGAAGTCACATGCACTTTGTAGTTCACACAGGGCTGTGTAAAACGCATCAAATGATTCTCCAGCTTGCTGGACACGCTGGTAAAACTCTATGCGGTCCAACAGTGGATTACGTTGCCGTCTGATATACGCCTGAATGCGCTCCAGCATCAGGTCGACGTCAGCTGAAGCTGGTATGCAGATAATATCCTCTCGGATAACGTCGCAGCTCCTCATCGAAACACTGACGGAGTGTTGCCACTCTGGCCTCACGAGCCTGGCTGGCCAAATGCTGGCAAACACTAAAATCTCTCCAGCTTTCAACGAAGGAGTGAAAATCAGCCAGCGTCGCAGACGACAATAAGTGTGGGCAGGAAACACTGTTCACTGGCCGTGGTGCTGAGGTCTGCGAGGTGGACTGAGCTGGTGCTGAGGGCTGTGGAGTGAACTGAGGCTGCGATGGTGATAGCAACCTGCTCTGAACATTCTTGAACAGATCTTGCATCGCCTTATCACGAGCCTCAGCTGCACGCATCTGCTGCTCCATAAATTTCATCAGGACACCCATTTGAGATTCCTGCTGTCGCTCGGTCGCGGAGGACAGGTCAAATCCGGTATCGTCCTGTGATTGTTCCATTACGATTAGTCACTCTCGTCCACGAGTACGAACAAATACACTACTAAAATAATTCAACTGAGACAGAGTTTCGATCGCGGATACTACTACTTCACACGGAAAAAACAACTGAGCCCGTGCAAACACTACAAGGTGCGGACACAAGGCACGGACACAGGAAAGAACAAGTTCACTGCGCCATGATACGTTACGATTTATTCGTGAAGACTTGGGAACGGAAACAAAACATGTCATGAGAAAGAACAACAGGAAAAAGAAGCCCACTCAACTAATCCGTGTGTGTGCGTGCATGCAGTACAACTATTACGTAATGAATATAGATACACATCAACGTCACCTTCCGGCGCTATGCCTTTTTATTTTGAAAATTTGTACTGAAATCAAAACTTCCCGCGGAAAATCGATGTTTCTCGTACCAAATTTGTACGCGAAAAATCTTTCTGCACCCGATGACGCAAAATCTCCATACGAAACATGGTTCGTGTGAAAGCCAGTCCACACGGATTCTCTGTGCCGAAAAATCGTGTGGAGCATGCCTGGAAAAAATCCGTAGCGCCCATACGGATTTTGGCACGGAAAATCGTACCCCGGAACCTCTCTATTGTCGTGGACGTTCTTCACACCGTCGAGACCAGCGAGAATGGCGTCCATGTGCGCTGTAGGATCTCGGATGCGGACGATACGCCCATGGGCAGACGTTTACAGCGCATGAGACCCAGAGGAGTGGAGAAAACTGTGTAGCGACGTGACTCAGGGTGTAGACAGATCTGGTGGAATGCCATGTTCAGGTCGAGTTCTGAGAACCACTGTGCGTCAGCCATGGTGTCAGTGATCTCCTCAATAGTGGGAATAGGATGGCGCTCACGCCAGGCAGCGGCATTGACGTCACGGTAGTCATGGGTGATCCGGACCTGGCCCGGTTGCGACTTAGGGACGACGACAATTCGTGCCACCCAGGGAGTCGAACCGGTAGCAGGCTCGATAATGTCGAGGTCCTGTTGCTGACGTAGTTCTTCGATGGTGGCTTCCCCGCAGATGGACAGGTACACGGGATGGAGGATGGGCCACTGGTGCGGTGTCGGGCTGGACGTAGATGTGGGCCTGGACGTCCTGGACGCAGCCGAGACCGTGGAAGCGCGAGTCGAAGCGGCTCAGAATGGCCGCAGTTGCAGCTGTGGGCGCATCTGGCGCGGCGTCTGTGGTAGCATAGGCGCGGTCAGTGGCTGGGCCGATGTGCAGCAGGCCGAGGCGAGAGGCTAAGTCACGGCCGAGCAGCGTAACGGACCGTGGGAGGTCAACTATGGCAAATGTGCAGCTGAGGCTATGCTGGCCATGCGCCACGGGCAGGTGAACCTGACATGCAAGAGGCAGGGAGCAGACGCGCCAAAGGCGTAGATTTTGGCGGCGGCTGGTGTTATCTGCACGGCAGGTGCAATGCGAATGAGGTCGGCTCGCGTCATGATGTTTGTGGACGCACCAGAGTCGATTAGGACTGGCAACGCTGTGCCATTGATAGTGGCTGTGACGTGTGCACTGGTGGCCGCAGCATCATCACAGTAAGTTGTGAATGCCTCATACTCATAGTCAGAGAGGAAATGAGCTGCCTGTGGGAGGTAAACTGGGTCCTGTGGAGCCACAGCTGGGCTAGTACTAGTAGGTGCAGTGTATGGATGAGCATCAGCTGAAGTGTGGCTGGTGTCCATGTTGTGAGACAAAGAGTATAGTGGGTCTGACATCATGTGTACTGAAGCTGGACCACTACTACTAGTACTTGGTGTGGACAAACAAGCTTTGGCCAAGTGGCCCCACTTGCCACACTTGGGGCAGCGCTGGCCCCGTGCAGCATCACAGGACCGGTGGCCTGACTCTCCACAGCGGTAGCAGCGCGATGTGCTGGATTCCCGCTGGCCTGGAGCGCGAGTGGCGACTGGGGCAGGTGGCTGGTGGTACAAGTTTGCAGCTGGATGTGGCGAAGACTGCATCGGTCGATGCGATGGAGCTGAAACAGTAGCAGGAGGCGGCTGTGCCCTGTTGTAGACCGGCGGCTGATGACGGAGGGCATTGACTGAGTCTTGTGTGTGCCGGAACGCCGCCGTCTGTTCCACAGACGCTTCAAATGCTCTGGCGGCCTTGAGCGCCTTGTCGAGATCAAGGGCCGCAGTCTCTAGCAGTTTTCTGCGGAGTGGATCGGACGTGCATCCTGCCACAATTTGATCACAGAGAGCCACGTTCTTCTGGTCATCGTCGGCGAAGCTGCAGGTCGTTGCCGATGCCAGCAAACGAGTATAGAAAGTGTCGAATGTTTCGCCAGGCTGCTGCGTGACCTGACGGAAGTGGAAGCGGGCCATGCTGGGGCTCTGCTTCGACTGGAAGTATTCGGCGACGGCGGATAGGAGATCGTCCAGATCGTCGCCAGTGTCGGCTAATGTAGGGACGAGCTGCTGGATGTCCTTGCCAGCCACATACTGGAAAGTGTCTCTCTGGCGAGAGTCGTCCGAGATGCCGGCTGCTGTGACATAGAGTCGGAAACTCCGTTCCCAAGCAGGAAAACGGGCGGCAGCGTCGTAGAGACTGCTGTAGATCAGGAATGGCTCCGGAGGCGGTAGTGGCAGCAGGGACATGGCGAGGATCACGCGTTGGCTCGCAGCGCCAATGTAATGTTGGTCTCTTACTTTATTCCAAACAACAACTCACTCGGAGCTCCGGAAAGCTTCGCAATATGATGCCAACAGAATGTAATGGTGTGCGTGCATGAGTACAGAGTCGGTGCGTACCGACTGTCAGCACAGGTGTGGAAAGCGGCCTATGGAAATGGATAGGAGTACAAACGGCGCTGTGTACATATATGCGTGTGACAGTCCATATATGTATCTGTGAACACTACAGATGTTGAGCAAATAGTATTATGTAAAGAGAAAAGGACCTATAAGTTACTAGTTATGACTAACAGTCCACCAAGGTAACGAGATAATATACAGTCAGATAGTGCGACAACAAGGCACAACACGGACAGGGATATTGAGACATTCGACGACCTGACACCTAGCTCCAGCACATCTACGAAGTGCTATTCACGACCTGATCTTACTGGGTGTCCTGTGATGCTGTGTGTGCGTGTGTGTGTGTGTGTGTGTGTGTGTGTGTGTTTGCCTAGCAACATGTCTGTGATGTGCCCTGCACTGGCAAGAGATATGGGCACAACTGCATGCACACGTGCAACTGTACACGGGGTGTGTGCGACAACAGCATCGGTTGCCTGTGCCCGGACGGATTTATGGGAATAAAGTAAGTATTTTGTCACGTGTCAGGATAGTTTACTTGTATAAGCCAGCAGGTTACACTACCCTTCACAGCCATGAGGAACTTCCTTTGACTCCTTGAGTTGCTTGCCAGATTGAACTGCCAGCCCATTGTGGATCACTGTGTATATTCAATGCCTATGATACCTGGCAAAGCGCCATACTATGCAGAGCCCTGGCTTTCCGCAGCAGGCCAGACAGTGAAGCACAGCACTATGCAGAGCCCTGGCTTTCCGCGACAGGCTGGACCGTGAAACCGTGCATCACGGCGGCAGCCCAGTTTTGGCATGCACATGCGGCATTTCTTCTGCGGATTTTATCTGCTCGGCGTCGCTGGGATCTTCTGATGCTGGTGGTGAGCACCGGCGTAGTGAGTTGGTAGTACCGGTGTGGCCGGGTTCTGCTGGGCCTGGCCTGTGTACCTACGACTACGTTTACCTTCACCAGGCGGTGAATTGCACACACAGACCGGAGAAAGTCGGTGTGCTTCAGGCGACGGTTCCCTTGGCAACGGTTTTCTTGGTTGACTTCATTTTCATGTATGGGTGAAACGGTTCGGGTAAGGAAGTGGTTTTGGAACTGCCAGCTGAAAAGAATCGGGTACCCGTTCCGTCAAATTTCGAACCGAAACTCGAAAAATCTCGTTCTCGTACAAATACATGTACACGCCAAGTCTACTCAAGATTTTTAAACGTCTTATAGTCCGTGAGCCAAATCTCAGAATCGGCCGTTTTAGCATCGACCGTTGCACCCAGAGGGGGACAAATCGTCCTTCAGCACACCGCTTCACGATAGTATTCTGAAGCGATTTCCACTTGTTGGACAGTTCGAAACTGATCCAGGGAGGTCACAGAAGACGCCAAACATCCAACTTTGCTCACTGACAGCAGCGGCCATTTTCGCCTTCTTCGCTTGATTTTTTTGCGCTTGTTCACGGATTCTCATTTTTTGAAGCCATGAGCAGATACCACGAGTGCACATAACGCGGAAACCAGTGCACAAAACTAGATTCGAATTTTTTTGCCGCTGAGAATTATGAATCGGGATCATGCATGCAAACTGCATGCAACAAAGTAACTATACTGAGTCTGTTTGTAGTTACAATGCAATCGTTCAGAGCTGACTTCCAAGAATGTCCTAAATATCTCTCGACATATTTGTTCACCACTTCCTAGGCCTATAGGCGTAGTAGACTGTAGTGAGTAACTTTCTGGAGCAAATGACGACTGCCCCGAGCATGAACTTCTTTTCATCCTGTTCAAGGTCAAATATTACTCAGTTTGCGTTGAAGAATAACAATTACTTCAGTACATTCGTGAATGGCCGAACTGAGAAAACCCTCATGATTTCTCTTGGATTTCGTATCCCAAGTTCCTCTACTTGGCTGGATAAATCGCCTCTTGACTTCATCATACTGGACTGGAACTTGTAGATAATAGCGAGCAATGAATTGGTGAGTGAAGTATATTTCAAAAGTAATAACCACTCGATTACTGAATAGTAGTGAATACGTAGAATACTCCAGTATTATAATGATATGAACACTGAAGCTAATGTGACATTACGGTAGTACAATAGGAAGTACGTCACCATTGTTGTAAAGGCACGCGCTGATCCTATCCAACCTGACGGCCAATGCAAGAGGTTGGAATTGGCTATTGATTTCCTAACACACTCATACAGCACCAAAAGCTATCTGTCATTGCTCATTTTCAACTCAACTTAACACAGTTGCAAATCACCAGGTGCACATCTTGGCACATAATGTGTGCTGTCGCAGTCCACCGCAGAACATAGGCATGCACGCTCGCACACACACACACATGAACCAGCTGCCAAATCTACACAAACGCACACACACACACACACATGAACCAGCTGCCGAATCCGACTATGCAGTCTCCCAGGCACGCGCGCACAAACACACTTATGCGCGCGCGTGTGCGCACACACACACATGAACCAGCTGCCGAATGCGACTATGCAGTCTCCCAGGCACGCGCGCGCGCGCACACACACACACACACACACACACACACACACACACACACACACACACACGGCGCACACACGGCGCACACACACACATGAACCAGCTGCCGAATCCGACTATGTTAGTCTGCCATGACTGCGAAACCAGCGAAGACATACGGTGCATTGGCTGCTGCCAGACTGGTCTGCTACAGGTTTGCGACGCTCTTGAGTACACTTGTGGCGTGGCAGACCGCTTTTCGAAAAGGAAATGTTACAAATACTTAGTGCTGAAACGATTATATCGATTACTCGTTACTTACTCGATAAGAAATAGATCGAACGGTTATTTCGATTTTATCGGCTAAACAAGTAGAATGGTACATGTACTTACGCTCGGTGCGGGATTTCCCCCATTTTGGGGTCGCACAAAGCGTGCATGCATCGAAAGTGTTGCGAGTACGACACGAATATGTACATGACTGTCCACTTGCAACATCGATGTACGTGTAAAGTAGAGTACAAGCGCGATCTGAGAAACATCGACGTGATCACCGTCGCCGTCTTTTGAGCTGACTACTTTTCTTACCAATCCCGAAAAGATTGTTGGAGGAGAGAGAGAGACTTTTGCTTGCCGAGCTGAAGCTAAAGGATTTGATGGAGTCCTGCCAGCAGCTAGTCAAAGGACCTTCGGTACCTTAGGCAGACCCTGACGGAGTTTGGAGGCCAGCAAGCTCTCGGTGAGGAGAGAAACATTCGCGTGGCGATCGACTCTCCGTAAAAAAAATACAAGCTACATAGCGCCGACATACTGCAACAGCTACGATTTCAACTAACTGTTACTTCTCGATCTGCTGCTTCACAAAGTTCAACTATTTACAAGTCCTGACTGTTGTAGTCTGAAGCTGGAGTCTCATCGCCCACCTACAGGTAGCTTTTGGAGCTGATGGATTTCCCGACTTGGACTCCTTCCGCAAATTCTCGCAACAGTACTACAGTGTATGCTGTGTTCCCGCACGCTCGTGTCTACATGTCACCTACTGCACATGTACCGAATCGCGGAGGCGGAAGAGCTTGACGAACTCCGCTGACTCCACGTTGCCGAAATATCGCCGTCGTCTTCGTTCTTATCGCTGGAGACATTCTCCCCTTCCAGGACCGGCGCATAGTTGTCATCCCGGAGGTAGAGACTATGTTGTGTTTCGAAATAGTTCTTCATCAAGCTCGCGCGAATTCTCATCATGAACTCTTTCCGACGTAGTGATATGGCGATGGTCTTTGGCGGGGCACTGGCTTGGCGAAAATGCAATCTTCTTGCGCAGTAGAACATTGATCGGTTGCAGATGAGTACAGTTACTTCGTGCTTGGTCCTGTTGGAGGAAACCTGACAGGAAAGAGGCAAGACTCATCGAAGACGAAGCGCTCGCAACAAACAATGGCGCTCGAAATATCTCGTACGATTTAGGGCCTATCGCTTTGAGCCACAGCGCTCACAGCCTTGCCTACTTCATCAAAGTGAGCTCTACATGTTCGTTGCTCAGTATGTGTCTACACCAGCTGCAGGGGCTGGAGTTCCCTCCACGTGCAAGTAGTCTTGAGCTAAAGACAGTATTGTGGTCTTCAGTTTCATGTTTTCCGTTCTGTCGATGGTTCCAGAACCAGTTTGCTCGACGACGAGCTAGGCCTGGCGTCTGGGCCTATTTTGAGCATAGACAGGAAAAGCCACTAGTTACTTGTTGGTGCGCCGCGCGTCAGCTCATCCGTCGAAATCCGCCGATCTGCACCCCTGGCCGGCTTCTCTGACTTCATCGTCGGAGTCAGCGAAGTCACCGGCGAAGGGCACCATCAGCGCTTGGGTTGCAACTAGTGAGTTGCCTCTGTCTTGTCTGTATTCGTCTGGTCAGTCCGAACAGCTGACAGATTTGTTGCGGGAACATCGGATCTATGCACCCGCTTTCTGTCGTTGGCGATGTTTGACTCGTAAAATTTTGAAATTCACAGCATGTACATGTACTGTTGTAGTTACAATAATAATCGTTTAGCCGATAAGCCGATCGTTATGGTATCAGCTAAGCCACTAAGGAAAAAACGTAATCGTTTCAGCACTACAAATACTACACTGAATCCGATCACGGGAGGCCGGCTGTGGTGGTGAAGCAATTCTGAATGCTGTGCGCCACTCTCCTCGCTGCTGTGCAGTGTCGAACCAATGTCCTTCAAGATGTAAGTGATGGATGTCTCTTCGGACAACATCACACCAATGCTGTCGGGTTTCACACACACACACACACACACACACACACACACACACACACACACACACACACACACACACACACACACACACACACACACACACACACACACACACACACACACACACACACACGGCGCACACACACACACACGGCGCACACCTTGTCGACAATTGCGGAATCTAAAACCCACCAGCAACCTGAAACATGGATCGCACTGGCCGCAGTGGCTGTGGCAACACCGTGCCCCAACACCAGTAGTAGCCTGGGGTGGTGTCACCAATAAAGGAAAACGCCTAGCACACACATGCACGCGCGCACGCACACACACACATGCACGCTCGCACACACACATACACGCGCGCACGCGCGCACACACATGCACGTGCATGCACACGCACGCGCGCACACACACACATGCACGCGCACACACACAAACATGCGCACACATGCACGCTCGCACACATGCACGCGCGCGCGCGCACACAAACACGCGCACGCACACACACACGCACACCCAGAAATGCGCACACACACACGTGCGCACACACACACACGCGCGCACACACACATACACAGCTAATGGTATAGTATGTTGCCCGCAAAGCAGCCAGGTGCTCTGGCTTGGA